TTTTAAAAAGGAAGACAAGCAAGAAAGTAAATCCACATATAATTTCAAAACATCAAATTTTAAGTATCTATATATTGCTACACACCTATTTTCTTATTGCTAATTTAATTATTTACAGTAAACATTTAAAAGTGGCAGAAATTAGCAAATTTTTCAATAAATTATGGTACTAAAAATATTAAATATACAGGACAATTATTTCTAAATTTATTCCCACATGAAATGTTTACTCATATTGTTACCAAAGATTACAATACTATGCATGTACACTCATGTGTTGGGATAATTATTTTGTTATTATAATTTTTTTTGGCTCCTATTAGAGAAAAAACATAAAAGAGTAAATTTGTTAATGTATAAAATATATTCGTGGAATCTTTGGGCATGCTTTGTGTAAATGTAGTCTACTTTGACTACTATGATACAATAATCCAGATTTAGTTGCAGTAGCTGAGAATGCAGATAGGCAGTTGAGAAAAGTTTGCTTGCTAATAATGCTATTAAAATATGAAAATAAAAATTATGTACTGTATAATTGTGTAGAGAATTTGTATATCTTCATATGAAAATGCAAAGAAAATACATCCAGAAACAGAGAACTATTTTTTGGCAGTCACTTTTGCCATGATTTTTAAAATGCAGTAAAAGAAAAAAAATATCGAAGAAATCATTGAGCATATGCTGTTTTAAGTTATTCCTGATGAACTACTATGTGAAAGTATTTCTGCAGGCTAAGGCCTGTTGCTGAGAATAAAGTAAGATTCATAAGGCCTTAAGGAAGAATGGTAGTGTTCTCTTATCACCCTGAACTCTAGCACTTAGAAACCTGGACTAAAGTCACCATCTATCGGATAGCATTTTCTCTTTTAGCTGCTATCATCATCATCATCATCATCTACATCTATTACATTAAATTATCTATTTTTGGAATGTTTGCATACATAATTTGGACAACATCTATCATGGGGGGTAAGTTACATGAGTAAACAGCCAAGTTCAAATCAGGTTGAATACATTTAGATTTAGAAATTAAGTATAGTTTTGTTTTAAATACATTGCTTAACCTAATAATTATTTACAGATGACCTTAATCTATTCAGAGTATAATTATAAGAAAGATTTTGTGTTAGTATAAATACAATTTCTTAATAAGAAAGATAAAGTAAATAAACCATTTTATGACAGGCTCTTATTTCTAAAGAGGATTTTAGGGCTAAATGCATTAAAAAGAAGTTAAGCTCTCACATCCTCTGTATCACACAGGTAACAACAGAGTTCTAAGGCATAGAGCTTCATTTCTACCAGTATAAGGAGTATCAAAATTAACTCATAGAATATGAATTCTATGGTTGATGTACTATATTGTATTTATTGGCGTGGTAACTTGAGACCAAGGACTGCTCACTGAATTCTCCTGTGATGAGAACCTGTGGGGAGGACCCTACCACACACAAACTGCTATCCAAAGAAAGATAACATCAAGTCAATTTCCTGTTCCTTACAACTTGCAGGAAAGTGACCAAACCATGCCTTTTATTCTATTTTTTGACCAAAATGTTGGGAAAAGAAGAAAATTGTTACCATTTTCATGTTATGTATATTTAAAAATATCTTTCTTTAAGAACTTGCTGTTGTGAGTACTTTGTTAAGTTTCCCTACAGAAACTGATTTATAGGAGGAGAACAAAAGTTTGTTTCTGCCACTAAAATAGTAATTTTAAGAAAATGAATTATCAATGTTAAGAATCCAATAGACACATTTAACAATCAGATGTACGTAGTGGAAGAGAGAATTAGTGAATTGGAAGATCACTCAAAATGAAGCATAATGAGACAAAAAGATGGAAAACGCAAGGCTAAAGGGTAAGCAACATTGAGGCTACAGTCAGAACATGTAACATACTTCTGGAGTTCTGGAAGATAGAAGAAAGAAGAAAGAAAATGAAGTAAGAGTTACGTTGCTGAGATTTTTCTGAAAGTGATAAACTGTAAAAATCCACATATTTTTAGAAACCATCAAGCTTCAGATAACTAAAAAGAAATTAACATACAAATGCCACAGGAAACAAAAGACCAATAGAAAATCTGAAAAGTAGCTAGTGGAAACAGATTGCATTAAAAAGAACAACTGTTTAAATGACAACTGATTTTCAACAGGCAAAATGGAGGATATAATTCAATGAAATCTTATCTTCAGTGTGTTTCAGAAGAATAGCAGAGCTTTATAAACAGAAATTTGAAACAATATTTTCTAAGATAAAAGAAAAAATATTGAAAATACAGAGTTGAAGATGAAAAAGGAATACAAATTATTAGAAATGGTAAATATGTGCATAATTCTAAGTGTTGACTATATAAAATAATAACGTCTTTTTGGGTCAAATATATAATTGATAAAATATATGCAAATAGCAATAGATAGACTGGAGGAAAAGGTTAAAGGAGTAAATGTAGTAAAATTATTTTTTGAATTTTTTTATGCCTGTGAGAAGAGTTTGAACATCATATTCAATGATGCTGTAATATACTCCTAGGTATATATCCAAAGGAATTGCCTCAAATGACATGTGAAAGAATGCTTGTAGTATTATTCATGACAGCTAAAAAAAAAAAAAAAAAAAAAACCAAATATATATCACCTAAAGATGGATGAATAATGACAGTAAATTCATACAGTGGAACAATATAGAGAAGTGACAAGAAATGAATCACACGGATATGCAACAATCAGACTAAACTGCAGGAATATAATATTGAAGCAAAGAACCCATGAAACAGAAGAAAATATAGACTTGCGTCTATATTAATTTCAGGCAAACCAAACTATGGAGTTTAGGGTTGTGTGTATAGGGGTATAATATAAAGAAAATCAAGGAAGTTATATCATAAATTATGCATATTGCTTACCTCAGGAGATGTGATGGAAGGCTTGGGAATTAGGAAAGTGGTATGGAGGAGGACCTGGACCTTGAAATGTTTCCTGTCTTGACCTGCATTGTGATTACATGGGTGTTTGTTTTATGATACATTGCTGTGTTTCCCATTTTTGTTTTGGCCTGTTTCTAAGAATGCATTATAATTTTAATTTAAAAATTGTTAATTAGGAGAAATGTCCCATAAAAATTATTTATTAATATGTTCATTATTTACCTATGGGGAAATCCACCATTTATATACATTCATATACAACTCTCAGAGAGTTGAAGTCGAAGCATTCTTATTTTAGCAGCAACACACAGAAATTTGAGATGTTATCTATAGTCCCTACGCTTTTCCAAAGATTTTCTTCTAATTTTAACTATCCACCTCACAAGACAAAACCTTTGAAATTCCCTATCTGTTTATCTTTTGTTTCCTGAATTACTGACACAACAAGAGTGGATGTGTTTTCCAACTCTTGGTTTAGTAGAGTATATAAGGTTTTTGGGGGGGCGGTAAAAGTAACCTCTCCAAACCACATTAGATATTTATATCTCACATGTCTGCAGATCCAGTTTTTCTAAACTTGCCTTGATGGTTTTTTGTGGTGATTTTAGATGAGTCAGCTTCTGCATATTGGAGCTTGTTAGAGTTTGGCTGATTAAGGCTGGATCAGGAAAGGGTCCTGACTCTATTAGTTTCTCATTCTTCTCCTGGAAACAGTGTACCAGACTGGGTATGTTCTCATGGTAAAGAGAGAAAAGCAAGAAACTTTATGTGGAAGCCATTTCAAATCTCTGTGTGAAGTCTACTAATTTCCTATTCACCAAAGCAAGTTACATGATTGAATTCAGAGTCCAGGGACAAGGTAGTCATTCTACTTGTGATGAAAGAACACTGTAAGATTATATGTCAAAGGATGTAGTGGCTAGGAATATTTACAAAATTGTTGAATGTTTTAATTAAATAGTCAATATTTAACATTACATAGACAAAGGCCTAGCATGAGATATGTTTGATAAATATTATTAATGGGCTGAAAACCTTGAGTGGAAAAATAGAACTAATTCAACCTAAATGACCTCCTGAAAATCATTTTCCATTTTGGAGGTTATGAGAAAATAATCCCCTCCTTTCATGAGTGTGTGCTTGTGTATGTATGTTGGTGTGTGTCTGTGTAATAAGCTTCTTAAAAATAAAGTTATACATTATTCATAAGCAAACACTGAACATTTATCATAATACTATAAGAAAAAGATTGGCAGTAGTGAGACATTGCCAGGGGAGAGAGGGAGGGAGGGAGGGCAGAAATCATCCACAAGGGTACCTGATCTCAAGCCAGGTGAAGTGGGGACCAAAGGGAGGCCCCAATATCACCTGTGCCATGGCCATTTATGTACCTAATCCTGAATTTTACCTCACATCTTTAAAATAAAATAATAAAAAAAATTGTACAAGAGAGTTAGCAGCAACCAGATTTTAAGAAGTATTGATCTTCCTGGGGTTCCCAAAAAACCCTTAGATGCTTTGGATAAGAAAAGTCTGGATTCTGTCTATTTACCTCTGGCATTAAAAAAACATAAATCCATAGTGGTGATGATCCTGGTTATGACTAAACTCTCTTTAACAATTTAGACATTCATTGTATCATTTATGTATTGGCTCCTAAAATTTCCCTAACTGCAGTTGTTGAAAACAAATTATGGATAATTTAATCCAGGAAAAAAAAAAAAAGCAAAACAATGAAAGAGAATATGTCCTTATTTGCATAATAGCAAATGAGAATTCAGTTTTCACTTCATTTTCAGCTATGAACATTTTAACTTATAGCAAGCACAGACAGTGTTTGAATACACGTTAATCTGAACTGTATTGGGAGAGACACTGTTTTCCACAAACTCAGCACTGATCTCATCCATTAGTACGACCTGGTGCTTCCTGGCTTGACATTGGTCACATAAATTAAGGTAAACACAATGTTATTGTACATTCAGAAATCAGGTGTATGCAGAATTTAAGGTCAGGATATTAAAGGAATCGCAACCAGTGATATTAGGCCTGCAATTTTTTCTTTGTCCAGACATGATACGTTTTCTACTCATTCTGTTTTCCATCTTATTAGTGGCTGAATTTGTTCTTGGAAATTTTATCAATGGCTTCATAGCACTGGTAAATGTCACTGAATGGGTCAAGAGACGAAAGATCACCTCGGCTGATCAAATTCTCACTGCTTTGGCAGTCTCCAGAGTTGGTTTGCTCTGGGTAATATTTTTAAATTGGTGTTCAACTGTGTTTAACCCAGATATGTATAGGGTAGATGGAAGAATTTTTGTTTATAATGCTTGGGTAATAACCCACCACTTCAGCATCTGGTTTGCTACTAGCCTCAGCATATTTTATTTGCTCAAGATTGCCAATTTCTCCAACCTTGTTTTTCTTCATCTAAAGAGGAGAGCTAAGAGTGTAGTTCTGGTGATACTGTTGGGGACTTTTGTATTTTTGGTTTGTCATCTTGTGGTGCTAAACATGGATGAGAGTATGCGGACAAAAGAGTATGAAGGAAATGTGACTTGGAAGATTAAACTGAGGAACACTGTACACTTTTCAAATTTGACGCTAAACTCACTAGGAAACTTCATACCATTTACTATGTCTCTGCTGTGCTTTTTGCTGTTAATCTGTTCCCTGCGTAAACATCTCAAGAAGATGCAGCTCCATGGCAAAGGCTCTCAAGATTCCAGCACCAAGGTTCACATAAAAGCTATGCAGACTGTGATCTCCTTCCTCTTGTTACTTATCATTTACTTTCTGTTCCAAATGATATCAATTTGGCATTCTAACAGGCTGCAGAACACAGCTGCCATCATCCTTTTCCAAGCTATAGGAATCAGCTATCCTGCAATCCACTCATTCATTTTGATTTGGGAAAACAAGAAGCTAAAGCAAATCTTTCTTTCAGTTTTGTGGTAGGTGAGGTGCTGAGCGAAATGACAGAAACCCTGAACTCCACAGATTTAACAAGTGGGACCTCATGTGTCTCCTTGCAGAAGACAATTGATAGTGTCTGGTACATTTTATACTTTCATCTGGTTTTTGCATCGTGTATGCATTTGAAAAATTTCCAAAAGTGTATCCAGAAAAGACTTTTACCTAAACTTAGTATGAAAACGTGTTTATCAATGTGTATGTGTGCATGTGTGTATGAAAAACATACCCTTAATCAATTTTTTCACATAAGCCACTTAATTATACAAAATATGGGAAGAAATAATAAAGTATGAATATTTCATATATATTTATATTATCTTTCATTTGAAGAATGTATAATCTATGTTTATACATTATTTAGACTTACAGCCTATCCCTAGAGATCATTGCTGTTTTCCATAATTTTTACCACAGTGTGTTTAGATATCATTGTTTGAACTCTAAGTTTTTGAATGGTAAGGATATTCAATTCTAAATCAATAACGAGGATGTATCTTTGGGGTAGGTTCTACTCCATCATACATTCTTACTTTATGTTTAGTATAAAACAGATTTGTTCTTAGGAAAAAGATGCAAACAATAAAATTCAAGAGTGACAAACATATTTAGAGCAAATTTTGTTTATGTATATCATATTGAGTACCAGTATTATTTAATACCGAGAAATAATAAATTTAATACAAGTATGTGAATAACAGAAAAAGTCATTTCTACATTGAGTTGAGGAAAGAAACATTATCATGACCTATTTTCAATGCTGTTGTAAGTTTCTGCACGCAGTTAGAAAAGTCATTTCTTACAATTTTTGAATTAAGGAAAACATTTCTTAAAGTTGAAATCTGATGTCAAATATTTGGTTTTTTTAAAACTACTTTTGAACTTCTGAATTACCAATCATCTTCTTTATCTTCAATTCTTAAAATTCCTTTTAAACTTCAGATAAAAGGATTAAAATCTTCTCTATCCTAAAAAAATGCTCACATAAAAATCATATAGAAATTATGGAACATAATTTAATGAAACTTTCTTTAAATGTTAAAATGGCATTTATGAAATCTATATATTAATTATAGGAATTGTCTTAAAGATATGTTTTCTTATAATCTTGTTGTAAGTGATGGAATTAGAGAAACTGTGTTGACATATTCATTGATGGCAAATTCCATTATTAGAAGAGAATGTATGACTGTGTTCAACAATTAAGTTCTACAAGACTGTATTAATTCATGTTGGTATAAAATTTAACAACCTTATCTAAACCTTAACATCAGTTGTTTCCGTATCCGATATACTTATTTTTTGCTTTAGCATGTATCTTCCCCAAAACAATGTAAGCACAATAAAAACAGAGATCGTGTCTTTCTTGCTTATTGTTAATTTAAGTATCTAACTCATAGGATGTTGGGAAAAATGACACTTTAATGAACAAGTAAGTCGATAGATGAATGAATAAATGGGTGGTCAACCAATGAAAATGAAAATGAAAACATCACATAATCTGCAGTTGCACTGATTTCCCTGTTCTGGATACATGCAGAGGCTACAGGTTTTTCTAAGTAGAAGCATTTCTCAGGACAAGTTTGACTATTTCCTAATGTTAGGGGAAATATCACCATAATATAACCGTCAGCAGCTATATCAGGTATGTGAAGTGATGTGGTAGAACATCAAAATTAGATGGCATCTAAAATGCATATAGTTTTTAAAATGCATATAAAAGATTTTGGCATACTTGCATATATTTTTCCATTGTGAACAATATATTTAGAATGTGATATTTTCTTTTCTTTTCTTTTTTGAGTTGGAGTCTCACTCTGTCGCCTAGACTGGAGTGCAGTGGCCGCTCCCGGCCACCGCAGCCTCGACCTGCTGGGCTTCGGCTATCCTTCCGCCTCAGCCTTCCGAGTAGCCGGAATTACAGGCATGCACTACCATGCCCAGCTGATTTTTTGATTTATTGTAGAGATGAGGTCTCACTGCCCAGGCGGGTCTCGAACCTGTGGGCTCAGGCAATCCACTCACCTCAGCCTCCCAAAGGCGCGGGATTACAGGCTGAGCCACCAAACCCGGCTAATAACCAGCTTCTTACTAAAATGTTATTTTTATATAAACATGCTTTTATTCTCATTTTAAAATAAACTTTTCATCACCAAATTATAAGCTCACAGAAAAGTGAATGAATTAGGTAATTATACAACTGAATAAATATCTTAGGTTAGGACTTCTAAAACCAGAGCCAATGTCCAGAATTTAAGTGATGACATTTATTTGAGAAGGCAAGTCCAGGGCAGCAGTGGGGGGAACAGGTGGAAATTGAGGCAAGAGAAGATGTGATACAATGTGATATGATGTATGACTCTGCTGGGGGCTACTTCACAATGAAGTGAGAGACAGCAAGGTGGCCATTACAAGTGTGCACTTAGACCGCAAGGTTTTTCCAGTTGGGCTTTAAGAGGGGAACCACAGCCAGCATTGTCCATGGAAGAGAGGAGGGGAAATTGAACTTCTTAGCTCTCTTCTGTCTTCTATTTCACTTTGGCCAGGGCTTACCTGAAGGAGAACTGATAACTCTGCTTTTCTGTCTTACATCCAACAGAATCCACTCCTTGTTAACTCAACAGGCATTTAAAAAAACTACCACTCCTGTAGCTCTCGTGGTTTTTGTGGTTGCAGTGATCAACTTTGTTCCTTGGAGAATGTTGTTATTCTTCTTTTTTTTATTGTTTGCCAGGATGGGAGACTTCAGAAGCCTTCCCTTGGTTCTGTTTACAATAATGTCCATTACCCCACAGGTCAGGAAGTAACGTTAGAGTTCTGCTAGCTGCCAAATCTGCCCATTTCAACCAAAATTCAGGGTATTTATTTAATTACAAACCCATTTGATCCACTTTGGGAGGGACATGAACCAAAGTTCTAGGTAGAATCTAACAATCAAAAACATGATGCGATAGACCACAGTAATTTTTGGGAGCCTGGATAACAGTGTTAATATAGGAAATTAACACTTTGATTAGAATTAATTAAAATTCTTTTTACTTACTCTAAAAGAATTTAAAAGAGTATATAAAATGTGTCATTTCCTCTGGCAAGTGGCTACAGGTCTTTGAGAAAGTACCATATGAGCACATCTTGAATATTGTTTTGGTGAATTTTCAGGGTCCTTTATTCAGGGAACTTACACTTCCTCTCAGTCACTGAATTCTGATTCTCTGATTATTCTTAATCCTAAGAACTGGCTGAGGGACTTTGATTTTCTACTTCAAAGGCCTACCTCTTGCAAGAGGGAACTCTGTCTTCCTCCTGGTTTACAGTGATTGTCAAAGTGCCAAATATCTTCAACTATTGACTTATAAAACCATTTCAGTGAAGCTGTTGCTCTTACCACTTGATTGAATCTGATGTTTGTAAGATCACCAGTGAGTCTACATTGCCAATGCTGTCTTCATCTTGCCTGACCTAACAGCAGTACTGAATAAAGTTTGCTTTCCAGGATGCATATATCACATTACATATAACACATTATTAAAATTTTATTTTTTTTAAAGGTCAAAGTTACATTAAAAATAACACTACTGCAAATCTAGGGAGAAGGCGCATCAATATTTTTGTTTGGATTTCTGTTAAAGCGGTGTGATGGTGACCCAGCATCTCATTTAATTTTATTTACAATAGCAATATAGGAATTGATAGATTGATAAGCAGGGGATTATTATTATAGACAGAATGACATAAGTAGAGAAATATATAGATAGATTTATGGTTGATTAATCATGTTGATTAACTGTATTTGGTGTAGTTAGTGTAAAAAATTTTCAGGAATGAAAAGTTAAAATGGAAAACACTAACCAGCTTTATATACACTTAAACATAACTTTGACACTCAAATGAATACAGATACTGTTTTCCAAGGAACTAACTTGTTAATCTGATATCTGGATGTAATGTGTGGGAATTATCTTCATTGCCATTCCTGCTTTATCTGAGAAATACTATCTTTCTTTAACAACTGTTGTCCTAATGAAAACCTAGTATTTTGAACTCAGATGAAAAGGTGTAATGGTGGGGACCTTAGGGTGAGTCCCTCTGGGATAAGTGTAGCTCTCACATGCTCACCTGTAATAGGATAGTGGAGCAGATGTTTTTGGGAGAGTAAATGTGGAAAAAAATCTGAAGGTATTTGGAGATTGAAGGATATGCCTTACTGGGCAGTGGAGAAGCACAGAATGTGGATAATTCTTGCTGTGTGGATGAACTCATTCATCCTCAGTGACTGCTTTATGAATCAACTGATAGATTTATACCTCTTCCCACATACATAGAAAAAAAAATGTCCAAAATCTACTGAATATTTGCCTTGAATATTATTTAATATAAACTTTTAAGCCCTTTTAAATAATATCTTAATAACTATCATAGTACTAGGCAAGAACTGGATACATATGAAATGTTTAAATAAAAAGCCTGGCTTATTGAAGTAGAAAGAGTAGGGAATTAGATTCCAAATAAATGCGTGTGTAGGTATCCATGTGCATACGCATTCACTTGTAGAAAGTAAAATGATGAATACAATTATTCTTGATACCAGCATTCTAGCAATAATGTCTTCTATGAGGTTGGAGGTTGTTAGAAATTATGAAGTTTTGTAGGAGGAAGTTTAAATAACTATGGATGAGTCTCATTACAAATCTAACTTTTAAAAAATTGCCTGATTTTTCTTTATGCTTACTATAAATTGACAAACTATAGTTGTATTTTTACAGGCTCCCAAATGATATTATTATTTATAAACACAATGTGTAATAATTAAATCAAACTAATTAACATATTTACCACCTCAAATACCTATCATTTTTCTCGTGAGAACTGGAAATTTACTCAGTGATTTTGAAGTGTGTAACACATTATTGTTGACTATGTTCACCATGCTATACAATAGATCTCAAAACAGGAAAAAAAAAACTTCTTCCTCTTGTCTGAGTTTC